TGAGTTGATTAGTTTTAGATAAGGTTAGGGTTCTAGTCAAGTTAGTTTTGTCAGCTTAAGAGGGAGACGATGCTGCAGCAATCGTAAGTTGATTCATCTGGGGGTATTGGTTGTTGTTTTTAACTTGTGGGAATGGTTAGATATTGGAACGTATGAGTCGGTTAGTGAGGGATAGAGTTAGCTTAGTTTGGGACGGTGTTTATAATGATCTGTCTTTGGGGATAATAGATGGTAGCTGAGGGAAATTGGAAGAAGCGCTGCGATGATCACGTATATAAGTAGGTTGAATATCCATAGTAATGAGGTTGTGAAGGGTGTTGTTAATAGTTAAAGTGGAGTTGTGAAACGATATATTGAAGTTGTTAACTTTGAAAGTGGCTGTGTTGGGTTTATGAAATATCCTTTTTACAGAGATGACATTGTGATGAAATATTTTCCTTGTTTGTTGCAGGGTATAATGCAAAATGAGTTGGAATATTGGGTCAACATATTCAAAGACACTTGTGTTGATTTTTCATCTTGGTGGAAACTTTGTTAATAATGTTGAAGGTGAAATGAGAAACAATGGTGGGAGTGTGAGAGTTAAAACGATAAAACAGGGGATAAGACATGAAGAGTTGAGGTTAATGATATTGGAATGGTTTGATATAGATGTTAATATTTGTGACATGAAATATACAGTGAGCTTCGATGATAAGGCATTAGTAGATTTGGTTGATGATAGTGAAGTTGATAATCTTTTTCAGTATAATGACACCAGTGCACATGTGTATCTAGCATTGAAGGAGAGTACACCGGAAGTAATGGATGATACACAAATGTGAGACCTGTTTTTTTTTTATGGTTATTGCAGTTGTTATTTGTTATATTGTTATTGTGAATTTCCTAACAAAAGTTGTAATTATGCATGCAGCATTGACAACTACTTGGGACTGTCACAACAAATGTGTTTTTTGTCAAGTAGGGAGAATAATATGGACGAAACAGTTTGTGACGAAAATGGGGGTGACTGTGTAAGAGAAGGCGGTGGGGGATGTCATGTGAGGCTAGTAAGTACAGTAGAGATTGCACCAACACCAGTGCCCGAGATAAATGCTGTGAAGTGGAAGGAATTATTGTTAGGAAAGAAGCAAACTTTTGCAAATGCCACAGAATTCAGAAAGGCAGTATATAAGTTTAGTATTGCAGAAAACTTCGAGTATAAATATGTCAAAAATTGTGAGGAATGTGTGCATGTAAAATGCAATGTTGAAGGTTGTCCTTGGCGGATAATAGCAAGAGTAGTTGCAAAGAGAAGTCCTTTCCTCGTTGTAACTCAACTCAGCAAGAACATGTGCATAATGCCCAAGAGATTATGCAAGTTACACATGGTGGAAGAGCAGCTTTGACATCATCAATTATTATTGAGGAGGTAAGGGATCACACAGAAAAACATCCAAATGAAATAAGGAGGACCTTGGCAAGGGATTATGGTGTGAAGTTGAAATATAAGCAAGCATATAGGGCTAAGGAAAAAGCATTAGAGGAAATACAAGGGAGGCCTGAACAGTCATACATGTTGATACTATGGATATGTCAACGATTGAAGGAAACCGATGAGAAGACGGTAGCTGAATGGGTAGCAACTGTTAACAACATATTTGAGCGTGTTTTCATAGCATATGGTTGTTGCATAGAGGGTTTTTTGTCTGGGGCAAGACATATACTGTACATAGATGGAACACATTTGAGTGGACCATATAGGGGAACATTGCTATCAGCCTCAGCATATGATGCGGACAATGAATTGTTACCATTCGTATATGCTATTGTGAAAGGAGAAGTGGAGAGACTTATGAGGAGTGGGCATAGTTCTTAAACATGATAAAACAGATAGTTGGTGCAATCCAATTAACTATTGTGTCAGATCGTCACAATGCAATAATAGCAGCTGTTGGAGCAATATTTGGAGGTGACCGTCATGCATACTGTTATAGGCACGTGAAGGAAAATTTCAGCTCTGAAATGAATAAATTATACAGAGGTAGGAGGAGAACTAGTGGTATTAGTAAGGAAGTTGGATTAAAGTTGCTTGATGACATTGCGTATGCGAGGGTTAACGTTGAGTTTGATAAGGCAATGACAAGGATGGGAAATTTCAGTCTTGATTTACTTCAGTGGCTTAACAATCATGGTGATATTCATAAGTAGGCAATGAGCAAGTTTGCATATAAATGGTGGGATAACATAACAACAAACATTGCTGAGTCATTCAATGCTTGGATTGTAAAGGAAATGCGGCATAATGTTGCCCAACTTATTCATGAACATCGTGAGAAGGTTGCAAGGAAGATGTTCGCAGCAAGTGTGGCAATAAGGAACTGGAGAAATGGTATGGGTCCAAACATTGATGGAAAAGTGATGGAAAATGTGGCTAGATCGATTCATATGCATGGTGAACCTTGTGGAGGTGGCAGGACCTTATTTGTTTGGCCCTTTCACTATATATTTTCTTCTCCTTGATAGAGAGCCTTGCCCATGCCTCTTTCGCCTTATTAGTTCTATCTATTGCACTCTGGAATTTTTGCCCTTGAGCAAATTCCTTTCTAAATAAGACATACCCATTCCTTGGCCCTTTTGAAGTTGATGTCTCTCCCTCCAACACCATTTTTTTTGCACATTACACATTAATACAAGCATGTCAGAAAACAATTATTGAGGGTGGGGTTATAAGCTAAAAAGCATTAGGCAAAACGTTACAAGCTTAAAAGTGGAGTTATAAGGCATTTTTCCAGAACAACACAATTCACAGCCTTTCATTCACACGAGGAATATTAAAAATATAATAAAAGTTAGGAAATTGTGATTAACAACATCTATATAAGTATTTACAACTTCAATATGGCCATTTACAACAGCATTTTGAAGAAAACAAACCCCTTTTTCCAAGTTCAGTTAGAACTTTACAACTCCAGTGTAGGGAATAATAACATCTATGTAAGTATTTACAACTTCAGTATGGCTATTCACAACAGCATTTTGAAGAAAACATAGGCCCTTTTTCCAACTTCGGGGTTAGTATTTTACAATTCCAGTGTAGGGATTAACAACATCCATATACATATTTACAACTTCAGTATGGCTATTCACAATAGCATTTTGAAAAAAACAAACCCCTTTTTCCAAGTTTGGTTAGAACTTTACAACTCCAGTGTAGGGATTAACAACATCTATATAAGTATTTACAACTTCAGTATGGCTATTCACAACAGCATTTTGAAGAAAACAGAGACCCTTTTCCAACTTCGGGGTTAGTATTTTACAACTCTAGTGTAGGGATTAACAACATCTATATAAGTATTTACAACTTTAGTATGGCTATTCATAGCAGCATTTTGAAGAAAACATAAACCCCTTTTCCCAACTTCGGGGTTAGTATTTTACAACTCCAGTGTATGTACTAACAACATATATATATAAATTTACAACTTCAATATGCCTATTCAAGAAAACATAAACCCCTGTTTCCAACTTCGGTTAGAATTTTACAACTCCAGTATAGGGATTAACAACATCTATATATATATTTACAACTTCAATATGGCTATTCACAACAGCATTTTGAAGAAAACATAAACCCCTTTTTCCAACTTTGGTTAGAATTTTACAACTCTAGTGTAAGGATTAACAACATCCATATATATTTTTACAACTTCAGTATGGCTATTCACAACAGCAATTTCAAGAAAATACACAAACCCTTTTCTCCAACTTCAGTTAGAATTTTACAACTCCAGTGTAGGGATTAACAACATCTATATATATATATTTACATGAGAGTGCGTACATTCACCTTGTTTTCAAATAATCATTTTAAGTTTGGCCCCCTCTACACCCTTATACACACTTCCCCACACCATCATGTCGTCTCTGCGATTCATACCTTAAATCAAACTATACAATTATACTAATATGCACTTAACTCAGGCTAATAGATGAAAGACAATATTTGCGGTTGCTTCTTAACGTACCTATTGCATCTCAATTATATATGGGCAAAAATAACGAGTTTTGGGTTATTGTCCATAGAGATAATAGTGTCGTCGACGTTAATTAAGCTGACAGAAATAGCTTGGTGGCTGGGCTGGAGAAGTGGTAAATGTGAATGAAAAGAAGAAAAAGGCAGAGATAAAGTAGTGATGAAACAGTGAAATTATGAAGAAGAAAAAAAAAGGTACGGGGGTGTGGGCTGTGTATGTGGTCCACACTCCTGAAAGTATATCAGTCATCATGTGATAAAATCCAAGCAATTTAGTTGGGTCCTCCACTTTCTACACATTCACTTTGTCATTTTCATCTCCAGAAACTACCCACTCCCTCTCACACACATTCGATTGAGATCTTAAAAGTAGCAGTATCAAATATATAACTTCAACAAATACAGAGAAGGAAGGAATGTTAACAAACTTACCTCTGTCTCACCGCAAATTGCTCCTCTTCTCTCTTCCTCGCCTTTGATCGATTGCCGCAATGTAACCGTTCTGTCGCTCTTTTCCTTTCTCTTCTTCGACGGTGACCACCTAACGCTCTTCCTTATTCTCTTCTCTCTTCTTTCACGCCGGTAGCTTCCTCCTCCGCTCTCTTCTCCTCTCTTCTCTCTTCTTCGCTCCGTCGGCTTCAACAGGGATCGGGAATGAGAGTATGAAAAAACCGCCTCTAATCCCCAACTTTTGTTTAAAATAACACTGAGGGCAGTTTGGTCTTTTCGTCTAAGAAAATAATCCCAATTTGATCTCATGGTACTAAAACAGGATTTGTGAAATTCACCGGACGTTTTTGGGATTCTAGAGTTAAAGTTGCATTTTTCTATCTTTTTTCCAAAATACTTCCATCTTCTATTCTCCTTTATTTTCTACTTTTTGTTTAATTTTATAACAGTTAATTAAATTTGGGTCGATTTTTCAGCTCTAATGTGGGTTTGACAACTAATGTGATCCAGTGGAACAAAGTGGGTTCCCTCTCGTCTCCCTCGCAGGAAGAGTACGCTATCTCTTTTCTGGAAAACCCTTCACAAACCCTATTCGCTCTCTCGGCAATGGACTATCCCACATTCCAACAACATCAGCAGCAACAGGAACAAGGCTACGACTCATCTCAAAATCAAGCCTTCGATCAATCTTCCCAATCCTATTATGGGTACAATCAACAATACGACCAGCAATACGTATACTATTCCAATCAAGATCAAGGAAATTCATATGCCCACCAACAATACCAGCAGGAATCCACCTCCATTCACCCTCCTGGAGCCCCAACACCTCCCGAACAGGCTCAGATTCAAAATCAACAATTTTTGAACCAGGATTCAGGTGCGGCGCTCGGTGGCGCAATGAATCCGGCAGCTGCAGCTGTGGCGATTGCTGCTCTCTCGCAGCTCACTCAGTTTGCTGGAAACCCTCCGGTAAAATTTTTATGTTCTTGCTATTATCGCATCGCTAGACGCACGCCTGTGTCGGCCCTTTCCCTTATCAAGTCCGCCTAATCGGCGACAGGAGTCACTCGCATAATCTTTTGTAATCTTATTGCTGAATTTGGCATGCCAATAGGCATGATATTGTGGGATTTTATGATGGGTTGGCGGCACGAATTTCTGGTTTTTGCATTGACTGATATTATAAGAGTATGACATTAGACTCTCCAACTTTTGTGTTGATACTTTGTATATACGGATATTGATATCTGTTTGTCTTCTCTTTAGGGTCTATAGCGGTTTTTTTTGGCCTTTTTACTTATGTATATTATTTTAGTTTTAAAATAATTGCTTGTGATTCATATCAATTTGTCTCTCTCTGGTTAAAGTTTTGCATATTTACTTTCAGTACAAGCATCCATGTTTCTGTTCATAACCACCATTGAAAGAGTGTTCTTCGTGACCAAAAAAGAAAAATATTAAGGTCATCTATGGAATGTGTGGAGACAATAATTTTGACCATGAATTCCTAGAAATAATGTACTACTCCCTCCGATTCTTAACATAGGAGCAAGATGATTAAGGAAATTAGTTAAATTAGTTATTTGTAAAAATATGTATTGGTTCCTCTTTAGGGCTTGTGAAGCTGCAATTTATAAGCACTTATAAGTACATTCGTGTAAGTCAAGACAAAACCCTTCTCACATACTTATCTTGTATTCTGTAAATCACAATTAAAGGGCCAAACAAGCCCTTAATCATTTGTATTCAAACTACTCTTGATGAAAACCCTCTTCATATGTGCAATTAATATAGATAATTTAGGAAAAAAATTAGAAGTATAGAAAACAGAGTGGATATATTTAGAACCTAATCTAACCACCAACCTTTCATCTGGCTTCTATATTGGGGATTGGATGGAGTAATATTTTTGTTTGGATTAAAATACTTCTTGTTTAGAAACTTGAGCTGAATTATATAAATTTTATACATATAAAAAATGAGAAAGGCCATTTTGAGTGATTCTTGTTAACCTTTCACTTTCTGTCTCGGATAAGTCAGTTTTCAAGAATAATTATCTATATGTTTATTCAACAATGTAATTATGAATGGAATGTAATTTTCAGGAGTCATTTCTTCCATCATTCTCCTCCCTAATCCTATTTCAAAGGCCTACCACACTCTTTATTTAAAATAAGCGCTCTAAATCTTCTCCATGAATATTCTTTTGAATCATGTATTGACTTATATAATTGCTGGCTTTTCATTGGTACTCAACTTAATTCTTGAACCATCTTATTGTCTATCATTGGTGCATTGGTAATATGTTCCATGAGATGAAACCATATATTTACCTTCTTTTTGTTTTTTTTTTTTTTGGACAAGATTAGTGCGATGAAGTCCTAAGTTATTTCTTTTTGTAATCTTCCTAATCCTCATGGGAACTAACTGTGAGATTATCTATTTGAGGGAGGTGATTGGTAAACTATCATCTCGAACCTAATATGTCAGGGTTCAGGTGTCATTTAAGTTGCCTATGGTTGCATTATTATCCAATATATTGGTTGTTCTAGATGGCAATATTTTAGTGGCATTCATATCACTAGAACCATGGGATTTCCCATTACACCCGTTTTTGGTTTATTAACAGTACAGAACACTGCTTTTATCATTTCCTCATAACAACTTTTTATTGTTATACTGAACACGGAGTTCTTACATTCGTGGTATGCCGAATGCAATAGAATGAAATTTCTATATGCCATGAAGATACTTCTGGTGCCCATTATTGCGTTGAGAAATGACACTAGTCTTCAGTCCGCTACTGTAAACAAATGAAAAAGGGATTATAAGATACTAATGTAGCACTTCCCCTAATTAATATATTCTATTGTCATTGTGCCCACTCCCCTTGTGGTTTTTAATTTCAATTGAAAATTTAGGTAGAAATCGCACTGTTGCATGTATCCATAATAAGATGCCAAATGATACATTACCTTGAGTCATTGTTTGTGGGGTTATTTTTTTTTTTTTTTGAAGTGCATGCAAAAATGATATTCCGGAACTAAGATTTTGGAAGTGATTGCTGTGAAGAAAATGGCAAGACTTATTTCATTATGAGGCTCGGGAGTCTTGAAGATTCTTTTCTTAAATATTGTTCTGGTAAACATCTATGTCAAGCCTACCCAACTCATCCTGAAGGACTTCTTAGGGTGAAGACAGACAAGATGGGCTACCCTCTATGCTTGTGTTCCTTATCCAGTCTTTTCAACCTTTTTAGCTGCATTGTTTGCCCGTGCTTTGTGATTGTAGAGATAGAAAAGCCATCGAAGTATATAATCAAATTTTTGATGATCTCCCATTTTTCAAAATCTATTAGTTAGAAGTTTTAGAGAAAGCTATATCAAAATGCTATAATGTTCTTGGAGGTTGATTAAGGGAATATTTTGATGGTGATAGTGTTTCTATGAACTATGCATATTTTCTTTGCAAGTAGCCCCTTTCCTTTTGTTGTCTTTTTTGTTTTGCATGTTGTCTTGGTTAAGCTACTAGTTGAAGCTGTGAAAATGAGTATTGATTTGAAAGGTATTAATGTTATATTGTAGCATCTATAAATTGATTCCCATCTCTCCTTGATACATACTAACTTTCTAATCGGTATGCATTTTCAGTGCTTCATCTTATTTTACCAAGATAACATACGGAACTAAAAGGAGAAGGCTTGCAATGACGATAAGCATAGCATTGTAGAAGCATTATCACTATTAAGATTTCCCTAAACCAATATCCAAGAACTCTAGCTTTCTCTAGAACTTTTGGTTGATAGCTTTTGGCAAATGGAAGAGGATTATTAAAAATTTGAGTATTTATTTTTAAGGCTCCTCTATCTTTAATTAATAAGCGGCTTGAAACTAAGAGGTTTGAACTTTGAAGAGACAGGGTGAAAGAGCATAAGCATAGAGGGTAGCATTAAATAGCTTCTAAGAAGTCTTCCATGATAAGTTGGATATGTCTTCATGTTATGACTCTTGGCTTTTTTTTTGGTAGTAATTACTTTCAAGATCTTGATCATTGATATATCATTTTACATCTGAAAACAAATATATATTTTGGCGTCGCAATATACTGAACATGGTATGCACGTGGGAGAGAACTACATACCAAATATGAAACGCCTCATCTTCCCTTTCAACCATGAGTATGGGCTTTCTTTTGATCCTTTTTAAAATTTCTACTTCAGTAATCCTGTTTTTCATTTTCCCTCTGTTATTGTTTTTGCTCTAAATTAGAGAGAAATTATACAAATTAACATCCTAGGGATGAACACCATAATTAAAATTAGTTACAAGCTGCAGAGGCCATGCTATAAGTGGTTTGTGGAAGACACCTCTTGCAAATTGCAGTTGAAGTGTAGGGCTATATTTTGCTAGCCAATCAGCACATATATTCCCTGTAGGTGTGAGCTGTGCCAAGTGATTATGGATTTATACTATTATTCTAGAAGTTCTCCTGGTGTCTGTTTATCTCTAACCCCATGTGGTTTCTTTGACATTTATATTGTTTCAAGACCTGGATGTCCTTGTAGAAAGTCTAGCCCAAGTTCCCCAAACAAGCTAAGGTAACCCGCTAGGGCTCTGATCGTGACAAAAGTTCTGTTAGGTTCTTAGTTATTCTCTAAACATGATAACATTGAATTTATGTAATTGTTCTACTAGATTGTGCTTTTCTTGTGTAAGTAGACTCTCTTTTCTGTATAACCTGGATAAACAATGTGAAAATTCATTGTTTGTTGGGAGTTGTTGGTTTACATTTATGCGTATCATCTGTGCATCAACTCCAAGTAACCCTATCAGACAAAACAGCTGGGTTAAAAAGAAGTCATTATGACTTATGTCATTGCAGGATGGCTCTAAATGATATTAGTTTAATCAGAGTCATGTGAATTTATCATATGTTTTAGATCCAGAGAATGCTCTTCTTTTGATGATTCTCTGGTGAGATCACTGGAAGTGTCATATTCTGTTCTATGCCAATTGGTTAGGAAGCATGGACCCATATATGGACACTGACATGAAATGAAGTGTTTATTTGTAATTTAAAGTGACATGTCATGTCTAATGAGTTTTTGACCTGTGGTAGGCATGAAGGTACCTCTTGGGAAGTATCCATGCTTCTTAGCCAATTAGCCTTGGTATTTGATTAATTTGTGGCAAGTCGAGCTGAAAGAAGATGCCTTGAGATAGTTCCAGTCTAACTTAGGCCACTATTGGATATAATTTCATAGCTGCCCGATTGGTTCTGCATATCTGCTTCAAGATGACCGTTCAACTTCCTTAAAAAATGTTTGAAAATGCATTATATGAAGGACTAATTGAAGATTTGCCCCTTTTCTGACAGTTTCGTGCCATTTTTTATGCTTTTAGATGGAGCATCTTGCCCTGCTCCCTCCAGGTCTTTTGGGACAATCTCTGGACAAAGGATTATTTTGGTAGGTATTAAAACCTTGGCTTCTCATCTAAAACTGTCAGATCAGAAGATGTTGAGAATACTGCAAACTTGGCCGCAGCTCCTTAAAGTGACCAGAGAAAGATATTAGTTGCATTATAGAGTTGCTTTTACCGTTGGTTTCCTATCAATGATGGATTGTGATGGGTCTTTGCTGGTTGCTTTAGAGCTGATTTGGGCATATGGTCATCGATTGCAAGTTTTCTCTTTAAAATGTTTACTCTTCAAACCCATCTACGCTGACAGTTTGCTGATCCAGATAGCTGGGTTTGTGTGTAATGTGGCTAGCGAACATGTTCATCTTTAGCCAGTTATTTTCTTGTTTCTCTCCTTAACTGACTGGCACTTTCAACTAATCATATGATGCCTTGCAGTTAAGGGAGATTTTTCACTTATTTCTTCGTTGTGGATATAATTTTTTGTTTGATTTCTGTTATTTCTTCATTTGTCAGAGGGTCTTTTGTGCTCGGTTTCAGACATAGGGAAGCATTGATCATTTTTCCGAGGCTCTAAATTAAAAGTTATCAAGGATTACTTGATCGACAGTATCTTGAGGCTGATAAATGTGGATGGACATGGATGCAATGAGTTTATTTGGTCAGAAGTCCTGGTGGGTGGGTCTATTTTTGGAATCTTTTGACTCTGAAGAAATGGTCCGAGACATTGATATTATCTCACCCATAAGAAGGGAAGTTCATATAGATTAAGTGGCTTATCAGGAAACACATTATTTCATGAGTTTAGGGTACATCCTTGCATGCCTCAACTTTTGTATGGTGTTTCTAAATTCGTTGTTTAAAACATGTGAGGAGACCACAGGACAAGTAAGATGTGGGATACTGTAACATTAGTGAAAGCTGGATTCATATGCCGTCAGTATCCCACAATAGAATTTAAGAATGAGCAAAGTGAAGGAAAGCTTAAAAGCGTCTTGATTGTTAGGTTATGAGGCAGGGTTGTTAACCGAATTCACATGCTTTCCTTTTCATTGTTCATTCTGTGATCTAAGTGGGCCCTTGTTGAACTGTTTGTTGATGAGCATGTACTGGCATTTCAATAGAATGTCAATTATGGTAATATTTCACAAAAAAATTGGATTTTTAAATATTTAGATTTAACTTTTACACAATTTGGAGTAGTTTTAAAGGCTGCCTTGAAAGCAATTTTAGAGGCTACATTATCCTTGTGTCTGTTATAATTTTTGTTTTGAGTCTCTTCTGGATATAGCCTCGCTGGACCTTATATTCCCTTTCCTTGAGCAGTGCTTTCTTTGCTGATACTCTTTGTTCTATAGTTTCCACAAGCTCTTGAGAATCACAAATTTTTCTCTAGATATTTTGGTTATGTTCAGGAGTTGTGAGGAGAATGGAAGGGAAGGAATCCATGAGAAAAGAGGGGTGATTGTTATATGATAATCTCTCTCTGTTCGGTAAAACTATCTCCTCCAAAATGTCTCGAATTGGATGATACGTAAATGTAAATGAGAACATTGGAGGATTTTGGGAGATTAACTTGAAATCCTTCACTCTTATCCTGCCCTCAATGTTAACTCTCTAACAAGTAAAGGGTTTCAATGAAACCTAACCTTCCCCTTTGTTGTCCGCACCAAACTCACTCTCATCGTTCATTATGTTGACTGCTTGCTATGGAAGGGCTTTTTCGTTCATGGACACCAATTTCCAAGAATTAGAGTAATCTCGGTGCATTTGTATGGAGACCAAGATGAGCTATATTGATTATGGCTAGTAAATAATGCAACTCTTATGTTTATCGAGATTTTATGTCGATTATTGAAAATATCTAATATGGTGACTACTCTGTTCGTTACTATAGCTGCCATTAACCGTGTGATTATGGTGTTGTTTGTGTGCATTTCTTTTCATTCCATGCAATGATTTTCTGCTTGATGTTGCAACCATCTCATATGTGCTTCCTTTCACACTTGAATGCTGTACCTATAGATTGGGCAGTCTCGATACAGAGTTGTTGGCAGCAGGGGCAGACCATTTAGACGGGGTGGTCGTGGGCATTTCAATCCCCGAGGTCGTTCCCCTTACCGTGGTGGAGGTCGTGGCCATGGGGGTGGTAGGCACTTCCCATCTCATTCTTCAGAATTTGTACCAGCTGCTACTGAAGGCACATCGGTGGCACAGCAACCTTCATCAATATCTGGGCCTATTCCAGCCCAGGTTCCAGTGGCAACATTGCATCCGCCACCATGTAAATTATGGTGCGAGGTTTGCAAGGTTGAGTGCAATTCTGCTGAGATTATGGAGCAACATAAAAATGGAAAGCGGCATAAAAAGAATTTGCAGGTACATGAGGAATTACAAAGGCGCAAAGCTATAAATGGACAACAGAGTAGTCAGATGCCCTCTTCTCAATTGAATTTAACAACCCAGGCTGAGAAAATTCTTGAATTGAAGGCAGAAGGGTGTCCAGCAGAAAATATGGATCCTAGAGCAACAGATGACAATCCAAAGAATGAACTTGATTTGCAGAACAATACTGGAGAAGCTTCAGAAGCTCCAGATGATGACTCTGAGGAAAAACCCAGGGATGGCTTGGCTTCGAGGGGCCGTGGTTTCAAGCGAAAGATGAGAGGAGGAAGGGGAGGTAAATACATGAGAAATCACGATGGGTCAAGAAAGCCAGTGGAACCTCCTAAACCTAAACAGGCTATTTCTTTCATATGTGAGTTGTGTAATGTTATATGTGAGTCACAGGTGGTTTATGACAGTCACTTGATCGGTAAAAAGCACCAGTCGAATCTTAAACGGGTCCATGGGCACCAAGCCATGTCCCAAGAACCAGTGCCGCAGTCAGTTCCCCCAGCTAACACCAGTGCTGTGTCTAATTTTGTTGACATCAATGCTCTTGCAAATTCAATTAACTCTCAAGTCCAACAAGGTGTTAATGATCCACAAGTCCTCTTGGCTCAGCTCCTAATGACAGTATTGTCTCAAGCTCAAGCAGCAACATCTGCAGCCGCCCCCACAGGATCTGTAGCTGCTCAGCTTTCGGCACTCATGCCAGGCTCTAGCTGCGGACCAGCATTTCAACATGTCCTGCCGACACAAGCATCAGGAAGTTCTGCACATGGTGAGAATGAAAATCCTGCAGGGAAGGCAAAAGTTCAGGTGCTATCTGATCCAACTCCTGCTGATGGTCCTCAAACTGCAGGTGGAATCTCTGAAACTGAAGAGAAGATACATGAAACACCCGCAGAAAATCCAAGTGCAGCAGATGAGCAAGGACCTTCACAAGGCAATGCTCCTACTTTGTAGAAGTATATGAAGTTTTATTTTGTATAGTTCATACTTCAGTTCAATCCTTTATTTCCAGCTTTAGCAACCCGTTCCCCCATGGAGATCTTTTTCCTTATGCCCAAACAATGAAAAAGGTTGTCAGATTTATACTGTTTAGAATCGAGCTACTGTGTTATTGGGCCTCTCTTTTGTGGGGCATCGTGTGAGTAAGAGGAATTGAACCGACCGCTGATTGAGGAGGAAGAGGAGAAAAAAAGAAAAAGAAATTGTAGCTTTGAAAATATGGTTTCGGCTGTGATTTGTGAACTTCAAACTGATTCTGTTTAGGAAAGGGCATCTTCCGAGAAAATCAGATTCATAAATTTCATATATTGTATGAGAATCAGTTTTAAAAAAATGACGTCTAAAATGAGAAGTTTTCTTTACTTATATGTATATTGTTTTCTTTTTTTGGGTGAAAAAATGTATTTTGTCTTAACTTAGTATGAAACTTCAACCGTTTAAGGTATGCCTGGTTTGGTTTTCATATCACATTTCCGTGTCAGCAAGCATGTAAGCCAAGTCAAAGCTGTTAACGTCACATAAGCAAATTTAATACCATATCCAATACATAATATAAGAGTTTGATTGGTTTTTATTTGGTTCTTCATATAGTATTTAAATTCACTTTGTTTTTCATGTTTGTTTATTTTTTTTCTTTCAAGGTAGTCTTTATAATAATTGTTATTTTAACCAATATATTTGATTAGTAAAAATATTTTAAGAAAGACAACATATACTTATTACAAATAATTAACTTAACTAGTTTTTTTAATTTATTTAAATTAGTTACTAGCCTTATATTAAGGATTAGAAATAGTATTATTAAGCTTAAGTCCAAATGGATGGTATTTAAAAAAAAAAAAAAAGGAGGGACAAAAAACTAGAAGAAAGAAAGTATATGAATCAAAATCAAACCTAGACAAAAATATATGGACCTAGGGACCTTGACGAAATTTTTTTCAACTAATTAAAGAAAAAGTAGAGTATTTTTGATTATTTGCCTCGTGATTGTTGTCATTAATTACGGATAAAATTACACAACAATAATTAATATATTTCAAGGTGATAATTTGTTTCTTAATATAAAAAATAACCCCCCTAAAATAATACTCGTAATTGCTAGATGAATAGAAAAGATGGAATTCTAGGGGCTTCTTCCTTTTGTAATTAGTTGTGATTTTAGCACTATAGTGTTGTCTTATAATTAATCTTCATATCTTTTTAATATAATTTTGTCTTTTGTTTTTTTGAAAAATAAAAAAGAAAAATTAAAAAAAAAACCCAAAAGAAAATATGAAATATAGGCTTTCCCCCCGAAATTCTTCCCACGGGCACAAGGAGATTTAGCTTTAGGGCAGAAGCGCGCGCGCCCACACACATGTTGGTTAAATGTGAAACTAAACGTCGGCATTCCCTCTCCAATGTCGACGCAACATCTGCGACCTCTGCCTCTTCCCAATCCGTTGCTCTGTTGTAAACTGCGTGTTTCTCTCAATGCAACACGCTCTTCTTCTTTGAAACGATGTTCATCCCAGAATGGAGCAAAGGCAATTTTGACCTTAGAAGAACTTCCTCCTAATGCCCTTCGCCGCAAGAAAGACCCACAATGGAGAGGAGGCTTCAGCCTCGGACTCGACCTGGGATTGGCTCGCACAGGCCTTGCCCTCAGTAAAGGCTTCACTGTTCGTCCTTTGACGGTAGCAATTTATTCCTTTCTTCGCTCCTTCTTTTTTTTTTTGGCGTCAAAATTTGGGTAAATCTTTCATATTATGAACCAACATATGATCTTTAGTATTTTAATTTCTCAATTAATTTAAAAGCTGTGCATCAAACGTTGGAGCTAAACATATTTTAAAAATTCCCTATCCATACAAACTGGTGGATTTCTAATTCTTCATGTCCATGTGTTTAATGGTTGACTATAAAGTTTTCCGGTGTTCATAATTTAAAAAGTCGAAAGTGGTGAGCGTAATGCTCCTAATCGTTGGCCCTTTTTTATTTTTTCCCCCCGTAGTCTTTATTCTATTCAAAAAGGGCCGACAGTAAAATGTTGAAATCAGAACTATGTGGAGGTTTATCGTGAAGTGTCTACAGAAAGTGTAAAAGAACACGTGAGCTCAATTACCGTTGTCTGCCTTTATTGGTATGCTTTAGGTGACTCGATTGATAATGCAGGCTCTTGACATTGTAATTCCCCTCTATAAACAAGTTTTAATATGGAATCTCTGCCTAGTTTTAGTTTTGACGTGAGTCATGTTACACAAGTTGCAGTTAATGTCATGTTTTGAGAATGTGTGACATTGCCGGTGTTCCCTATGCAGCATAAATTCCATGCTTATCAATTACAGTTTAAAGTTTTTGTCCCATTGCATTCGTTATTGTATATCGCACGTCCTTATGACATGATTATTTTGTGGGTGTGTTATTGCAATTTGGCTTGGATAAGGCTTGTTAACATTGCAATTCATGTAGCAAATTTAGAAGATAAAGCTGCTTGTTTTGTTGTTGCAGTGTGACTAATTTGTTGCAACCAATGAAATTTTTTGTGTTTAATCATACGTCTTTTCTCATAATCTTATAGCTATTTTAGGTTTTGGAATTGCGAGGGCAGAAGCTTGAGGTCCAGCTTCTTAAGATTGCTGAACAGGAGGTCCAAATCTTCACTTTCTCTTTCTCTCTCACTGCATGTAATTCTGTGGTTGAGGATCCATAGCAGTTTAAATATGCTGTTTTAGTGATAGAAGATTTTAATTATGTTAGGAAGCTGATGAGTTTATTGTTGGACTTCCTAAATCTTCTGATGGGAAGGAGACACCACAATCAAACAAAGTTCGCAGCATTGCAGGAAGGCTTGCAGTTCGAGCTGCAGAGAGGTCAGAGACATTGATGCACAACTTGTGCTTGTTTTCTAAATTCCATGGAAGGAAATATATTGAAATGTTCATAACGACCTGATAACAATCTTAGTGTCTATTTAATATTTCATATCCATCTCAGAGTTGCTAAACTAGTCACTTACGATCGTCCTTCCAAGTATAGACTTAAGTTCTTGACCTTGATAATCCCTCAAGTTTCTATGTTCCTCCACATTTAGGCTGGTAAATGATTTCCTTGCCTCATGCATTTTGAGAACTAGCTAATTTGACTTTGCCATTTTTTAAATCATAGTATAATATCACATCTTACCCCAAGAGTGACCTAATACCAGAGGGAAGAACAGAGAAGAATATGTTTTGAAGCTTATGTAATTAAACTTGAGTATTAAATTTAAATGATGTTTCTGTAACAACGTCTGCTTGGAGGTTCTTTGAATTGATATAGCCATTTAAGGGTCCTATCTTATGTATGACTCAGCTTTTAAATTTCAGGGGTTGGAGAGTGTATCTACAGGACGAACATGGGACAACAACGGAAGCAACAGATCGAATGATTAACATGTAAATGTTGTGGAGCTTATTTAACTTAGGGGATTCTTGTATTTCTTGGAATTATTTCTCGTTTGGGTGATTTCACTTGTTCCTTTATTATCATGAACTAAAGATGTGTCGTGTAAAGCTATTTATGTCATTGTTAGAGTAGTAATTTTGGTATCTGGTGGTTGCTATCAAGTCAAGCGAAAAGGAGACCATAGTGCTAGCAGATTCTGTATACAACTGTTGTAATTCTAATTTGGCATGTCCTGCATGAAAGGGTATTGACGGGAAAAGAATCTAGGAACTTCCTGATGGCATCTTGTTGTCAAAGCGATGATTTGAAATCCTTTAACGGGTATCACGTAGGCGACTTTCATATCAATTTTCAAAATTTTGTCTCATGATTGTGAACAGATGGAGTATGTAATATTGCATTTAGGAAAAGAATTCCTTCTGTAAGCAGTAAATCCTTTTTGCCCATGGTGAAAGATGATTTTTTGACCTCATACCAGCGTAACTGTTCAGAATTCACTGAATTTTGTATGTGCAGAAAAATTCTTATATGGGATCCATTCTTTTATTGGGGAATTAACTTTTAAATAACTCTTTCAGGGGCCTCAGTAAGTCCACACAGCAAAGGAAACTTGATGCTTTTGCTGCCATGGTTAGTGAATACAGTGTTTGATTGCAAATACTTATCTGTATTTGAGGTATCTATATTTTATGCCATGGTAATCCATTTAGTGCATTTACAAAGCACTGGCCATAAAAAGCACACAAAAAAAAAAAAAAAAAGTTGTATTTGGTACATGTTACATGTGACAATTCAAATTATATATGGACATTTAAAATAGTGTCCGAGTATCTGTATGATCTTATCAGCATTCATAATTGATAAAGAATGCAACTCTAGAGTAATTGTAATCTTTTCTTTTTCTTCCAGATGGTACTGGAGAGATATTTCCACTTGTCAGGTGAGGGTGTTGAACTTGTATTGCCGAAGAATCTTGATCTGCAAGAAAAACTTCAGAGGGGTCCTCCCAAAGACATTGATTTCTTGGATGAACTTGAGGGCTGAAGAGTGATCTCAGAGAGGTGGTGACATGGGATGAAGCCTTTGAAAACCGTGCTGTCATTCATGCTTGAGAAACTACGCACGAACGAGCAGAAAAGAAAGACTTAAATGTTTTAACAATCGTTCATCAGCTTGAAAGAATTCCAGAGGTTTTAATCTGGAAACGGAAAAACGGAGGGTGAAACTAGGAGGAAGTAACCATTCACAGCTGTCATTTGAAAAGCTGTACGAATGTTATTCTTTCAAGTCCTAAACGTTGCAATCTATGTAACCATATTTGCTGTGATTAAAAAAATTGGTTAAGTTATTTGTGAAAAATGTGATCAACTCGAGTCTGAATTCTGTGTCAGAAAAACACTTCAAAATTTCTAAATCCTATTCTGCGCCAATCGAAGTTGTTCAACATCTTCCCTATAGGTGTTTAAGTATATTGTGGCTTGAAAATATAATACTCTTCCGGTCCTTAATATAGGATCCTTTTGACTATTTTGATTAAATTAAGGATGGTAGTTAAGTTAGGTAATAAATATAGATATCCCAAAATACCCTCGGTTTACACTTCTAAAAAGAAACTGACATTTGAAAAAAATTAGTCTGGTTAACTCGCCTCCTCCGGTACCAACGTCGTCCAAGTTCTCCTGGCTCACGCACCGTCTGGTACCAACGTAGTTACGTTTTCTGTTTGATTGGGTAAAACATAAATAGAAGATTATATTTTCTAGGCACAAAGAAAATAGATAGTATGATTATTATTATGCTATTCCTCGGAGGTAAAAAAATCCAATTACCTTGAATGGGTATTTGTATGAAAATATTTTTTTTAAATGTTTAAATTATTTTATTAAAAATATAAAATGGTAGAATTGATGTTTGTGTGGAATCAATAAGTAATAAGTATTCATTCACTTTATAAAATATATAGGTGTATTATTAATGAATAATGAGTATTATTGTGGTATTTAATTATCTAATAGGGGTAATTTAGGAAAGAATGAAAAAATATGAGAAAGGGGTTCTATATTTAGGACTAAAATCAACCTTCTAATTGGGTCCTATATTAAGGACCGGAGGAGTACAACACATTTCGTCGGTCATCAATCAACGAATGAAGGACATAATAACTATGTGATGTGTCAAGTTGATTTTGTGTCTGCAAACTTGACAGGAAGGAGTTCTCAATCGGAAGGTATAGCCTAATGCTCGCTCTGGTCCTTATTACTCCTTTGGTCTTTTTATTTCAAAATTTGAATTGGTTTGGTCTTGTTTTTTAGGTTCTTCTTAGAGATATGTAAGCATAAATACATTTTTACTAATTTTGCCAATAATTAATTTTTTCTTCTCTCTCATCTTTTTCTCATACTACATTCTCTTTCATCATTATCTTATTGTTAGCATTTCTCTTTCTCATTTGCCCCTTATTAAAAAATAACATGCTTGGAAAAAATGGTTCAATTTTTACATATTTATTGCCTTTAATTAGTTTTAACTGCTTTCTAAAATCACATAATTTAGCTAAAATGATTTTATAAAAAGGATTAGAGGGCGTATAATAAGTCTTCTAGAAGGTGTTTTTGATCCATTTTATAAGACATTTTGATAATTTCAATGAGCATTAAATTATTTTCCCCCCACATATGTCCATATTTAGTAAGGTTAATAAGAGAGTCGAAATTAACATGATGCTAAAATTCAATGCGGTTATTAATATGGGTAATATTGGAAATCATTTAAATTTTATGATAACTATAATACTTTTAGTTATTTTTAGGAGTAAACTTAGGTCAAGTTAACCAGGTCAAATAGGTCCATGAAGTTAATCAGAATGTGACACTTATATTAGTTCTCCATATCACCACTTAACCCCAACACATACCGCTAGTCCTGGATTTTTTTTTTTTTCAAAGATACAGAACTAGGCGATTGATCATGAAGGCTGAGAAGAGTTATGACGGCCGTGTGTTCCTCTGGAATTGAACTTCTTGAAGGCTGAGAAGAGTTTACTCCTTAAAAGATTATTTGATGATTTCGACATTAAGGGTGTGTTTGGTATGAGGGATTTGGGAGGGAGGGGAGGGAAGGGGAGGGATTTTAATCATTTTCCCTTGTTTGGCAACACACAAATTTTAGAAGGGGAGGGAAAATTTTTTAAAATTTCCCCTCCCCTCCCCTCCCTAACCTTCCCTCCAAAATTGGGAGGATTTGGAGGGAAAGGGCAATATTTTGTCATATTATGACCATTATGCCCATATTTTGTCATGTTGTAACCATTATGTCTATATTTTGTCATGTTGTGACCATTATGCCCACACCTTAAATAAAATAAGAGCAAAATTATCCATATTAAAATGTTTTTCCCTCCCCTCCCCTCTTTTTTTATAAATCCAAACAAGATAATATTAAAATCCTTCCACTCCCCTCTCCTCCCCTTCCTTCCATTAAAATCCCTCCCCTCCCCTTCCTCTCATTGAGCCAAACATACCCTAAAGAGAGGAGTGAATAAACAAGCAATCAAAGGGGTGGGGTTCACATGGTCACATAAACACGTTGGGGTGGGGGTGGGGGGGGGGGGGAGAGGGAGAGAGAGGATGGACTTTTAAGCAATCGAAGCTGGAAAAATGAAGCAATCAGAGAAACCCATAAAATGAATCGAATTTTTGTGACGTACACCTCGCGTTTGACATCCAAAAGCAGTAATTTGATGAACGCAAAATTCAATACACGTGGCCGTCATGACTCTTCGTAGCCTTTATGATCAATCGCCCTAGGTCTTGCATTTTATGTTTTTCGGAATTTTTTTTTTTTAGGACTAACGGTGTGTATGGGGTTTAAGTGCTAGATGGAAAACTAATATAGGTGTCACATTCTGATTAGTTTTTATGAACTTACTTGACCTAATTAACTTGACCTAAGTTTACTCCTTACTTTTATTGGCTAGTGTTAAGTTAGAAACTTTTTATATTATAAATTGAAAGGAATAGTTACATCTATACCTTAATCTATAAATTGAAAGAACTCTCAAATCGAAATCGGAAAAAGAAGATAATGCGTAAAAAGCTTATGAGTTAATGGCTCGTTTGGTTCAACCCATTGCACATTGCAGTGCATTAATGTAATATTTATTATTGGACTAGTGTTTGATTTGTTTTATATACAAGTTGCAATGGGTTTTTTTTAGTAATTATTTAAAATTAATATGTGACAGTCTATTTTACCCATAACACGTCTTTTCAGATTTCAGAAACAATTGCCAAGGGGCCATTGCTCTACGTGGCCAGTCACCATAGCCGTTGCACCGCCTCACTAAGGATCGTCCGATAGAATGCATCACTGCCCTTGCCCTTAGTTGTCTCCGCAATCGTCGCCCTTGGTTGTCTCCGTCACTATTGCTGCTAGTTCTATCGCTTTTCAATGCATCTCCTTGTTTTTCTTCTTCAAGTTCGGATCACGCGTCATTCAGCTAGAAGAAAGCTCTACAACCCAAGAAGACTCATTCACTGCCTTCTTTTTGGTCATTACAGTGGGGAAGTTCTTTTGAAATAGAAATCTAGAAGGTATGTTTTGAATCCCCATACCCATAAGCTCGTTTTGCTCTGTTGTTATGGCCCAAACAAAGGGACATCCAATTGCTTGTTGCCATCAAAATGATAGAACGATTATTTCTTGTAATTGTTTATCTCTAGTCACTAAATCGAGAGCCACTTTTTGTTAGTCAGATATGCCTGGACACTGGCACTGGAACTCAAAAACAGTAGTTGATATCCATTTTCAGATTAAGCAATTTTTTTTGTGGGGCCCTGAAGAAAGCATAAATTTCAAAGTAATTTTAATTAGAAAGATGTTGAAGAGGAGAAGGAACCACTCGAACTAGAAATTCCAACAAAATGGCTGATGATTGGAATTGGTATTGTGAGCACTGTACCTATCCAAATACAACACATGCCAAAATGTGTCTGTTAACTCTAAAATTTCAATGCTTTACTCGCGAGGAGACCTGAAATAATCATGACTTTATTATTTGGAATCATGATTTGGAGTCATTATAATAGAGTAAATCACTATTTGAATATATAACACCCTATTGTTTAATTGTTTATTTCAACATGTGTTTATCATCTGGAATCATTATTTCTCTTGATGTGTAATTTTTATGATGCAGATGACACTAGAGGCAAATGAATGGCATATAGCAACATGTTATACATTTGAAGTACCAAAGAGAAGTGAGGGAGAACATCTCACTAGATCTGATGCGTGACCTTGGACCCAATATTGGAACTATCAAAGTGTCAAAAATAAGGCTCCTATATAATGTACTTATATACAAGGAATTTTTTATTGTAATTACTGGTACAAATTTATTGTAATTGGTTTTAAATGAGGTAGGAAGGCAAATTTATTTTAAACATTTTGCAACGTAATTTCAGTAGAATGAAAAGTTGTATTTTTTGCAAATCCTTCTACACGCACACACACATATATACCAGCATCAATAAACCAATATCTATATATCAATTGGTTTATATATAAGTGTGTGTATCATCATATATACTTCCATTATTTTGTGCTCCTCTTGTGCACAATTATATATATATATATATATATATATATAAATGAACATTAGTAAACCAAAATTATATAGGTGTGTGTATGTAGGGATATGATGTGCAATTAAAAAACAGTATGTAATCATAAGCGTATAATGAGCATCAATAACCCAACAAAAATACCAAACGTGGAGTTCTTTTAATCTAAGAAAAAATTTGTCATATGAAGGCATATGCACAACATAAGTGCAACAATTGTGATGCCTATACAATAATCAAGTTCCTTTATTCTTAAACACAATATGCAATCATCAAGCTCATACCTAATAAAATATAATCCAAAAATAGTCCCTTTGAATCTCCTAAGTAAATAATTATACTAGCTAATTGATGAGATGACGAATCCAACCAGCCTTGTGTTCATCTAGAATGAGTGGGAATCCAATCATTAGAGTTTGAGATCCAGAAATTCCAAGATGAGCCATGTCAATCTCATCAGATGTCAGCCCTTTAACTTTCAGCACAATTTAGCATATAATTGTTGAGTAACTTGCATGAGAAGATTCCGGACAAGCCTCAACAAATGGTTTGCACATATTTTTAGAGACCTGGATCAAATTTTTAAAAGACTCCTTTATTGATTTATACAACAATTCTGCAACACGATGACTTATTCTACTTCACTTTCTAGATGTTGATTGGACTTTACTTTGATCTATCTCAACATATGGTTCAATTACAACGTCAACTTGACCATTTTCATTTGCCTCTTAATTTTCGTTTGCCTCTTGTTCA